ACATTTAAAAATTAGATTATATTTTAAAAAATAGGATAAAGAATTCTATGCTTCTCATGTTTGCACATAAGTCCAAAAATCTCACCATACACAACCTTGAAGCAGGACAGTGGGACCTCCTCTTACTGAGTTTTTTCACGTCAAAAGAAATTACCAACAAAGTGAAAAGATAACCCACAAATTTGGAAAAAAATCATGACAAATAAGTACTCAGACAAAGGTCTGCTCTCTAGAATTTATAAAGAACTAAAAAACACTAGGGCCCCAAAACTTAAAGACCCAGTCCAGAAATGGGCAACTGAGATGAACACACACTTCTCAGAGGATGAAATTAAAGAAGCAAATACGTGAAAAAATGCCCTTTCTTTATTCCTTTTCTCTCTTGTTTTCTCCCTAGGCTATTTTGAGTGCTTGCTATATTTTATGAAGCACTCTTTGGTGTTGCCAGCTTGACTTTGTAAGATGATTGTATGTTTCCTTCCTCACCTTTAGCTGGTGAGAAGGTTGCAGTGGTGGCCTCACTCACTGCGCTGCTCCCGTTGTGGAGTACTCTGTGTTTGATGGCTTATGTCAGTGTCTCTGTTGCCGCTCCTCCTGGGCCTGCAAGACTGTAGTCACTCTCGCTGTCTAAAGAGTGAATATTTAATTATGTAGAATCACGTCTGTATGTTATAGATAGTACATGTGAGGAAATAGGAATTTTTTAAAAAACGAAGTAAGAATACACACATTGACCTCAATGTTTTCCCAAAGTAGTAACTACAGGGACTGATTTCTTTGACCTCAAAATGGTTTTGAGATTCTTCTAGTTTTCTTTCCTTACCTTTTTTTGCTAGCATGCCTGCACATAATAAACACATTCATCATCCTGGGGAACTGGAGCATGTGTAGCACGTCCTGGTCCTTCCACAGCTCATCCCCTCCCACCCTCCTATCTCCTACCCTCCCACCTCCCTCCTTCTAAGGCCTCCACTCCTAACCTGTGGTTTGTTTTTTGTTACTTTTAAAAGTTTATGATTGATTATTCTTTGGAATATTTTCAGAAGTGTCTCTGATTTTTGATGATAGACTTGAGCTTTTAAAAGAAGCCCAGAGTTCAGATTTAAAAGTGGAAATGATCAAAGTAAATAGTATATTTTGGTTAAAAAGCAATGTTTCTCTGCGATAACCCAAATGACTGTCTCCTATGACCCTTAACTTGGCTTCAAAAACTTAGCAAAGAAGAATTTTTTTTATTTATTTTTATTTATTTATTTATTTTTTTGTATTTTAGGGAAGGGTCTACAGGGTGTTCAGGATCTCACTATGTAGATCAGACTCATAGTGATCCGCCTGTTTACAGCCTCCCAAGAGCTGAGATTACAGGTGTGCACCACCATGCCCAGTCTCAATCGCCATCTCAGCACACCCCAGAGGCAGGGCCAGCATAGCAGGCCTGGGGCTATTTGGCCAGCCAGCAAAGAGGAATTCTTAAATTCCTTGGGTGACAATAGTTACTTTGTGTTGTGTTAATTCATGCAGTTTTAGGCCTTCTATTACCATTTGTCCTGCTGTTGTCACTGCTGTCTGCATTCTTCACCCAGGCTATAAGTTCATTTCCTGTCAGTCCTGAGGGTACTGGGCTGGCAGGCCCTGGCCTTTGGCCCAGACACCCGCAGGCCAGTGGGGCAACCAAGACTGCTTCCCAGGTTGAGGAGAAGACCTGGGACTCGGGGACACTGGGAGCCATAGCTGCCCCCCAAGTACCCTGAGCAGTTGGGAGAGCTGACCATCCTGTGTGTAGGTGAGGCTTGGGGCTTTTCCTTCCTGCACGAATGCCACATGCTGGGCTGGCACACTTCCTGTTTTTGTTAGTATTTAAATAGATAGTCATAGTCCGTAGGTGTAACATCTGTGCATGTTTCTTTGAATCCCCTTGTTTACTGAGGCATTGAGAGCACACCTAACAGCACACCCAGGGGAGAGTGAAATTGCTCCTGTCCCTGCTGCTCCGCCCGCAGGTGTCCAACTCAGACCAGGCACACAGCACATGATGAAGTGGGGTATCGAGGACAGAATTCCTCCATTATCCCTAAAATGTCCTTGTACTCAAGTCTGAGGTGTGTTTATTAGAAATTTAGGCACAGAGAGGCATTTTTTTAATTTTTGTACTTTGATGACAAAACAGGAAATCATACATGAAATTGTGAGTAACATTTGAGGTTTCCATTCCTCAGATACAGAAAACTGTTTCTTATTATGTCAAGAGGAACGTGCAGATTTGAAAAAAAGCATGCCTTTTTTTCTTAGCATTTGCTTCCCCTGGTTTCTGCCTGCCTCTTTCTGAATCAAGAATTGCCTGCTTTGGTGTTTGGAGATGTCTTTTTTAAAGAACGTTCAGAATAGTAATTTAAAAAATGTAAAATGATACAGAATTTCACTTGCCAAAATACTATGAATTTGATAGTATTTGTTATAGTGCATAGTGTTGTTTTCAACATAGTTGTTGAGATTATGAGATATATGCACACAAAATTGGAAAATGAAAGAAAAAAGTTATAAGAAAGTAAGAAGAGTGGAAGAGGAAAAAAACAAACAAACAAAAAAAAAACCACGAAGACCAAAAAAAAAGCATTGACTGCTCCCTTCCAGTGATGAGCAGAAATCCACAGTACAGTTATCCAAGTCATCCTGCGTACATATGTAGATATTTCTCTTTCCCTCATTCCCTGTCCTGTCCTCCTCTTAGCTCAGCGTGTAAGCAACTGCCTTGAAAGTACAAGGTTTTAAGTTTGATTCCCAGTACCAAAAAAAAAGTTGGTACTGTGAAAAGAGAATGAATCTATCCACTATCTTAAGTAAGACCTAATTCTCTATTCCTCTGTGACTCCTACTACAGTAATTTCTCCAAGTATCATACAAGGACCCCCTGCATCCAGGTCCTGAGCATTAACTCAAAAAGGACGTTTTGTCTTCAACCCAGACAGTGACATAGGCTCTCTGGGAGGGAAGCCTAAAAAGGAACCTGTGACAGCTCACTCCGTGGTTTCCAGGCTCGCTGCAGTTTGAAATCTAATGTCTTACTGGATCATGTAGAACTTTGCAGTCTTCCTGCACATGGCCTTTTTGGTCCTAATTAGTACCTGTTCCTAGTGCCAAATGCTCTGCCTTGTTCAAAAATGCCTCCACCCACGGACTATGTATCCTTCTTAGGTTTCTGATCCCCAAGAACATGATGAGTAGCTAAAGCTGTCTGGATTGAAAGACTTAAGAATTCAGTTTACTTTCATTGTCTCCATTCATTCACTGTGTCTCCCAAGGAAGGTGTTTGTATAATTTATATGCTTTGTAAGTTAAAATCTACTTTGGACTCTGTCTAGAGTTAACAATAGAATAAAGAATAAAAGAACCTTTCATTTTAAAAGTCACAGAAATTGTATTCAGTGGTGTTAGATAGCCAAAATACAAATTTAAGTTGAATTCATGTCTCATCTCAATACCAAGATAAATGCCAGAAGATTTTAAAGCCAGCAATGAAAACCTTAAAGTATTATACAAAATAATAGGAATTTTTAAAAACATACCCTTCGACAGGGAATTTTATCTAAATGGAATAAAACCAAATTTACATAAGAAAAGATTGACAAATTCATCTACACAAAAAACTTTTAAAACTTCTGAAAGATAGTCTACTGCATGCAAAGCCAAGGGCAAAAAGTGAATAATGAAGATCTCCAGCAGCTCATGTAACAACAAGCCAATTTCGCAGTACTAAAGATCTTTTACAAATCAGTAAGAAAAAATGACCAAGAAAATGGACAAAAGATACTGGTAAAGACAGTCACAGGAAGAGAATTACACATTGTTTGTTTGTTTGTTTGTTTGTTTGTTTGTTTGTTTTGGGTTTTGTTGTTGTTGTTTTTGAGACAGTTTCTTGCTATGTAGTTTAGGCTACTCTTGAATTCACTTATGTAGCCCAAACTGGCCTCAAGCTGATGGCTGTCTCTTGCCTCAACCTCCCAAAATTAAAAAAACTAGATCATACACTGTTGACAAGGCCCAGTTAGAATTGGGGTGACCCCTGTGGGCCCTCTGGCAATATCTCCCCAAACCACACACATCCACTTGGGGCTACTCCAAGGGCTCTATCCCCTGAGTGTATGTTCTCGGTCGTGTGCTTAGACACAGGCCATGTCATACACTAACAGGGCTCTTTTCGCTTTGTTGCTCTGGTCAGAGAACTATAAACGGTATGAAAGTCCCTCAGTAGAGAGGTATTAACTTAGGAAACATCCATGCGGTGAAATACAGTGCACCCTAAGCCCAACACTGCTTTTGTTATGATAGAGAAAACTAACCAAGATTTGTTAAGTTACATACCAGGTACACAACAGTGTTTATTGTATGCAAGCATTTATACAGAGATGTAAAGGAGAAAAGTACATGTGTACAGGTATATGCTGCACATTTATACAAATCATCTCTGGAGTCCCTGAGCATTGAAGCCAAAGGACATTAGAAGGTGGGGTGAAAAAAGTTTTATTTTGTATCTTTTTCTTTTTTTTACCTTTGGAAACTTGAATTAATAGCAGTTAAAATTAAAATAAGCTAAGTTAGAAAAGGATGGTGATAAGGCCAGGGAGATGACTCACTGGAATAAGTGCTTCCCTGGCAAGTACAAAGGCCTGAGTTCAATCCCCAGTTCCGCCAAAAAAAAGAAAAGAAAAGGATGGTATATTGGCAGATTTTGCATATCACACCATTCACTCATTCATTTATGTAATGTATTGGATCCCTGCTGTGTGGAAGAACTGAGTTCTGGGTTCATGGGTTGCACAATCTACTTACATAACAGTAATAACATTTATGTACGTGTAAAGTAGTAAGATAAAAGCAAAGTCCTTGTAAAAGGAAGGGCAGCAGTCTTTTAACAGAGTGTGGGAAATCCTCTCTGAGAAGACTTACTTAGATTAGCATTTTTTGTTGTTAAATGAAATTTATGCACTAAAGGCTTACACCAGTTGTGCTTTCAGAAATCTTTTATGTTTATCTAGTTTAATATAGTTAATGTTAGCCTATTGATACGATGTGCTTGGATTTGGTATGTTTTTGTGTTGCGTATACTATGTACACAAAAATCTTCCTGGTTTTAAAAATATATTTATTTGATACAGGTTCTTGCTATGCAGTTCAGACTCGTAGTGATCCTCCTGTCTCAGCCTCCCCAGTGCTGGGATTACAGGCATGTGCCCCCACACCCCATTTTGGGGCAGCACAGTGCACCCAGGATTCCAGAGCTGGCACGGCCGGCCTGTGGCACCAAGGATCGAACTCAGGTCCCTGTGCTTTCCAGGCAGGCGCTTAGACTGCTGAGCTGTCTCCCCAACTCCTTCCTGTGGGTTTTGGTAATTTGTTTTCTGTTTTAATACAGGTCACTAAATTGCCTTTCATTAACTTTGCCAGAAACTGTGTCTACACAAGGATGCATTGCATCTATCATGTGAGAATGTGCATTAGACTCAGGTACAAAACCAAGAAATAAATCACCACCCTTCAACACCTTGAGCAAAAACACGAAACAAACCACCATCCTTCGCTACTTTGAGCCTTAGAGTGCCCCAGGAACGTTCTTCACTTCTGAGTCTCTGTTACTAAAATCACCAGATACTTATTTTAAGCCCTTACGCATAGATATAATTTAGAACATCTACTCAGGTGGCCTTTGTGACAGGGAAAGCAGTATTAGTAAAGAAGCAAATATCTTTGGCCTCTGGAAGGGACATCTTCATGGAATGTGACAAGCAATAATCTTAACAAATGAATAAATTACACCCTCTATGAGAAAACCACAGGCAGACATCTGAAGGGCAGGCCAGGCAGGGAGGCAAGGTGCATGCAGCTCTATGGTGGTCCAGGAGCACCTGTTGGGAAGGTGGCCTTTATTTGAGCAGAAAAGTGAATGAACCCTAGAGATGGCAAGTGGAACTGTGTTCCAGAAGGAAGCACCAGTAGAACAAATGAGAGCCGGGAGCTGGGCGTGGGAGCAGACACTCATCCCAGGTGCTGCCTGGACGGGGTGCCCTGGGGTTCTGATTCAGACCTTCCATTTTACAAACTAAGACAGTTTATTTGGGCTTTGCACTCTGACCCTACTTTTGGGTCTTTTAAAAGTCTCTTTTCTTACAGCACTTAACCACTAGGAAGAATGTATGCAATGTGTTAATTACTGAAACTGTCCTACCAATTTGGTTTGAAACTGTCTCATTGTTATTTGTTTCTCAAAATTATGGGAAAAAAATCTCTTTTCTAAATATTCATCATAAATACTCTCCAGTTAAAGCTTCTATGATAGAATAACTTAACTTCTTTGAAAATGCAAAAGCCTACTAATAATAGTGAAATGGATGTGGCCTGAAAGTTGTGCTGAGAAGTCAGCATTATAGTGTTTTATGATTACTGTTAACTTTATGAAAAGTAAGTTATATGTAACTTGTTCTCAGAGCTCTTTTTTTGGACAAATAAAAATGAAATAACCTTGTGAGAGAATTCTTAAAGAGAAATAAAATTAGAACTACCTTTGTGAAGATAATTTCCTGAGCAGTGAATATTTCTTTGTATCTCTTGAGAGTTGAATACACAAGTGTGTGTGCACAGTGGAGGTGCTTCCTTGAGGGTTTGGTTGTGTGTCTACTAGGGTGGGCAGCCTTTGTTCCACATGCTTTAGGAAAACCAAAAAGTCATTTATCTACTTGCCCTCAGAGAGTTGTAGGTCTAAGTGGGCACTTAGAATTTAGTGTGTGTAACGCAGGGAGCTACATTTGCATGGTTGCTTTGAAACAAATACATACAGTATTCAAAGGGGGAGAGTAACAATTGTGGAGAGACTATGCTGAGTTTTCATTCATTCTACAGGGTCTTACTAATGAGCACCTATCATATGACATTGTTGATAGAAAGTGTAGGTTCTTTCTTTAAGGTTGTAAAAATGCCAGTCTTTGTGAAGAGCAAAAGAAAAACAGCCTGTCTGGACTCAGGAAGATGGGCTGGTTGGGCTCGGAGCTATGGTCTAAGCTTCCGTCCCCAACCATTTCCTCCCTCAGCCCAGGAGGTCAGACAGGTGGCCACTGCCTCTGTGTTTGGGTTTTTGACTGTTCGGTTCATTTGCTTCACAATACTTTCCTGGTGTTTTTTGCAGCAAACCAAAGAGAGAGTGAAGCTATTGATACAGCTGGCTGATGGCTTTTGTGAAAAAGGACATGCCCATGCAGCAGAGATAAAAAAATGTGTCACTGCAGTAGATAAGAGGTACAGAGATTTCTCTCTGCGGATGGAGAAGTACAGGACCTCTTTGGAGAAAGCCCTGGGAATTTCTTCAGATTCCAACAAATCGGTGAATTGTTTTGTACAGACTGAACAAGTTATGGTCTTCTTCCCATTGTCCTCTTTGCCAGTGGAATTAACTGGCTTCGTTGACTCATTCCACAGAGCAAAAGCCTTCAGCTTGATATCATCCCAGCCAGTGTCCCCGGGTCAGAGGTGAAGCTTCGTGACGCTGCTCATGAGCTCAACGAAGAGAAGCGGAAGTCTGCCCGCAGGAAAGAGTAAGCCAGTGTCTGAGAATGTCTTGGAGGTCCCTGAGAAAGCGAAGGAAATGTGGTTTGCACGTGCTAACTCCTGTACCTGCATTGCAGTCAGCTCTTGCTGCTCCAAGTCTGTTTAGCTTTTGCTGCCCAGACTTTTCTGGGCAGATCTGTCCCCTAACCCTTGTTCAGGCTCATCTTTGTCCTTGTGCCTCCCTTTCATATGGGAAACTAATGCAATGTGTTTAAAAGACACTAGTCAGTACACTAAATTATAAATAAATAAGGATTGTCTATCCAGAAGCACCTTTGTGCACCAGAGGCATGCAACAAAGTGAGGAGAGATGGGGGTTGTCACTGGGTAGGTAACAGATAGCATCCAAGGGGAAGGCCAGGGAAGCTGGTGCGAACCCCGCAGCCTTGCCGCACAAGGCACCACGTAGGTGCCTGGTACTGAGTTGTGAAACCTTGACCTCCAAGTACCTCAGTAAGACACTTTCCACCCACTTTTTTCCTTTAGAATTAGTGGCTGGATCCTAATGACTGTTTGTCTGTTCTTTATTTTCCAAAACCATTAGTCCTAATGCTTTTTAGATCCTCCTTGTTTACTACTCTCCATGGAATTGAGTGGCAGAGTAAGTGAGCATCTTGACTGTGAACTGAGCTGCTCTGTCCTGTTCTGTCTAAGGTTCATAATGGCTGAGCTGATTCAAACCGAAAAGGCTTATGTCAGAGACCTCCGGGAGTGTATGGATGTAAGTAAGTTTTCTGGGTGTTTTTTTTTTTTTCCTTTTGTTTAACTTGTCCATGTGGATTGAGTTTAACCTGCTCTTTTATTCTGCCTACTGGTGGGTCTTAGGATGGTCACAGGGTCTGAGTCGTGTCTCTACTCTTCTGTGCAGTTCTAGGCATGTGTACTGCTCATCACAGAGATGACGCAGCACTAAGCCACTCATTCCGCTTATCACATGAGCGCCTGGCTGACACTCTCTTTGTACAGAATTTTACAGCAGCTTCAGACAGATGTGCCTGTAACTATGATAGAAGCTGTTGCTCAGGAGTATTGTGGTTAACAGTTGCTGTACTGTTTAGAATAGGTTAATTTTAAAATTTGAAACTAAGAATCTGTCACACGTTAATCGCAACTGAAGAGCTTTCTCTAAAGAAGACTTTCATATGTTTTAGGAAAGGTTCCATTAGATGTGCATTTATTTACACATTGACTCTGAGCATGTACTTAGAAGTGTCAGAAACAACTGTTTTTTGAAATTCTGGCATTGACTTTTGTTTCCTTCCTGGGCAGACCTACTTGTGGGAGATGACCAGTGGAGTGGAGGAGATCCCACCTGGCATTGTAAACAAAGAACTCATTATCTTCGGAAATATGCAGGAAATCTATGAGTTTCATAATAAGTGAGTGGCTTTGTCTTTTGAAAGTTGTTACTTTTGCAGTCTGAGTGTTAAAGTTTCATCACAAACAATTGAACTATGTAGATTTCAGTGATTTTTTTTTTTTGTGTGTGTGTGTGTGTGTGTGTTATTGAAATTTGCATGAAGTCTATCAGTCTTTGTCCAGATAGACTAACATTCTAGTAAGTCACTAGAATAATACCGCCTTGATTGAATAGTTGTACTTACATTCTGCAGAATTATGATTAGGAAAACTGAAACTGTTAGTGAAAGAATCCCAGCTTCTCTCAGGTTACTTCTTGGGGTGGAGGAAAAAAGCACTCTGTCTGCGGCTACAGGCTGTGGTTCAGTCCTTTGTGCCAGGAGAGGAACTGGTAAGGAACTCATGTGGTCTGGCCAACATAAAGTACACTTTGTATCAGCCATGGGAAGCTCCTGCTTTTATTTATTTATTTAAATTCCTTATTCATGCACAATATTTGTTCATATTTATGAGTATGAAGCTTTCGTTCATGGATGCACTGATAGTTAACTCAGTGTGTTATCTTTCACCTTAAACTTTTTTACTTTTTTCTTTATGATGAATATATTCAAATTGCTGTCTTCTGTTTTGAGATATTTAATGCATAATTGTTAATTGTATTCTCGTTGTTACGCTATAGAACATAGAAGTATTCCTCCTGTGCCGTGATAGCATGGTACCCATTGACTGACCTCTCCCTGTCCTCCCGCTCCACTCCTGTCCCCAGCCTCTGGTACCACTATTGTGCTCTGAACTTCTATGAAGTCAGCTTTGTTAGATTCCACTAGTGAGTGAGATCTTGTAGTATTTATCTTTCCATACCTGGCTTATTTCACTTAACATAATTTCATCCAGGTCCATTTAATGTGGTCTCAAATAAGATTTCATGCCTTTTTGTGACTGAGTTTCATTTACTATAGCAAAAAACAAAAACAAAAAATACCCTAGGAATAAATTTAACTTGAAAGATGAAAAATCTCTTCTATAAAAGTACAAACTACTGAGGAAAGAACATCTTAACAGGATACAAGTAAATGAAAAGATAGTTCATGTTCATGGAGAAGGATTAATAGTGTTAAAACATCTGCAACATCTAACTGCCCAAAGTGATCTGTGAGTTTGCCGCCATTATGCTCAGTATACCGTGATATTCTGCACTGAATGAGGACAGCTGTCTCAGAATTTGTATGATTTTTACTTTCAAGAGTTAAAGAAAGCAGCAAGGGTGCCCATTCCTTTAAGTAGCATCTGCACAGCCTGGTAGCCAGTTGTGGGCCAACAGTGGGCCATGCCGGTGGGTATGCTCGGCCCTCCCCAGCCCACCGCTGGGGGCTCAGAAATGCCAGACGAGTTCTCTGATTCTCTGATTGACCATTCATATCCCTAAATCCCATCTTCCTTACCCAATGCTATTATTTTCCTAGAAGTAAGCTCTTGGGTCAAGTTCTGATAGAAGACCAAGTGGATTAACTGTCTAGAAAGAGTAACTTACACTAGTTAAGAGGTACAGATTGGTTCTTCAAATCTAGAGGGCGTAGATTTTCATTTCCAGCATATCTCATGGGGCTGGAGAGCCGGCTCAGTAGAATAAGCGCTTCCCTGGCAAGCACAAGGGCCTAAATTCAATCCTCAGTTCTGCCATAAAAAAAAAAAAAAAAAAAAAGAGCATATCTCATTATGGAAATGTTTTAAAATGCCTTCATAATGCAATAATGTTTTTATTCTCTACAGCATCTTCCTAAAGGAGCTAGAAAAATATGAGCAGCTGCCAGAGGACGTTGGACATTGTTTTGTTACCTGGGTAATGAGAACTCAGCTGCGCGTTCTCTCGTGGTCGGGGGTGGCGCTGAAGAAACTGGAAGGAATGCTGTTCATTTCGCCGTCTGCATCTTCTGCTGCTTTCTTTGCATACAGAGCAACAAACTTACCTAAGGCCATTACTTTGTGCACTTAGTTGTTACTGTGAAGGAGTTGCTTACTGGCAGTAGAGATGGTTTGAAATAGAACAACCAGTGTGTTGGGCCTGTGTTAGTAACCCTGACAGTTTGCTAGTGGGTGAAACCCCGTCCTGCCCAGGGGTGTGAGTGAGGCATCGTACAGTTCACAGGGGAGGTAGACACACAGGTCCATGCAGGACCTGGGGAGGGAGAGGATGGTGCCCGGCCTGACTTGCCACAGGAAAGGTTTTTGGGTTTCTTTTCTTTTTGGTTTTCTTTTCCTCTTTTTCTTTCCTTTTGCACTACTACTATGGATTAAAGACAGGGACACCCTGAGCTACACCTCCCCCTTTGTTTTTTTAAGACAGGATTTCATAACATTGCCCAAACAGGGCTCAGACTTAAATTCGCCTATTCTGATATTGCAGGTATGCACCAGTGTGCCCAGCAGGTTTCTTTTAGTTAAGACTTACACTTTTTTTTAACTGACAGTTTCTTTCTGTATTAAAGGCTGTCACACTATGATGTGTTGGGGTCTGAATGAGATAGTCTAATTTGTTTTGTTTTGTTTTGTTTTGCTGTAGGCAGACAAGTTTCAGATGTATGTCACATATTGTAAAAATAAGCCTGATTCTACTCAGCTGATATTGGAACATGCAGGGTCTTACTTTGATGTAAGTAATAAATTACCAAAGAAGTTATGAGGTTTTCCAGTTTATATTGAGTACACATAAAATAATACTACTTGTAATTGTACCTAATTGCTGGGAAAATGTTTTCTTTTTTTTTCTTTGTTTTTTCTTTCTGTAGAACCGGGAATTGAACTCAGGCCTTATGCTTGCCAGGGAAGCGCTTGTTCCACTGAGCCATCTCCCTGGCCCTGCATTTTCTTATCATAATGTGTGTGTGTGTGTGTGTGTGTGTGTGTGTGTGTAAAATTGGAATATAGTTTCTTCTGTTTTTCATAGATCCTACGTAAGTACTAGATACCCTCTACCTGTAAGAAATTGATTTTAATACATGTTTGTGTGTATGTATGTCACTACTTTTTGTATGCAACCATGGACTTTTATGAATATACTATACATAAAAGTATAAACATAATACAAGTTTTCCTCTATAAAACAAAAATAGTGGGCTGGGGAGATGGCTCAGTGGAATAAGCGCTTCCTTGGCAAGCGCAAGGGCCTGAGTTCAGTTCCTGGTTCCGCAAAAATAAATAAATAAATAAATAAAGCAAAAATAGCTGTGGTTTGGTTTGGTCTTTTGAGACAGGGTCTCACTATGCAGTTCAGGCTGGCCTTGAGCTCACTTTGTAGCCCATGCTGGTCTCGAACTCGCAAGGATCCTCCTGCCTCAGCCTCCTGAGTGGTGGGATTACAAGCATGCGCCACCACGCCCAGCTTGTGGTAAATTTTTAATTATGTATTTTTCCTATTTTAATTTCATATGTTATAAATTTCTGAAAGTGATCCACCCATAGACTTTTAGCACTGTAATAGCAAGGCTCAGTCGGAAGGTTCCCTGCATTCTCACTGAGTGAGCATAGGTTCAGGTCGTTTCTTGAGGACATTGAGGGGAGTTGTGCAGAAGCAGATGGAGCATTGTGGTACAACATTCAGAATCCTTTTGGGTTTAGTCAGATGTGTGCCTGATACATTTTGACTTCTGATGAAGTATTTTTTGAGTGTTACATATACTTTGGTTTCGGAGGCTGAGAGGACATCTCACTTATTTTTCTGTTATCATGCTTGCATAGAAAAATGCAATCATGCCTTTTAAAGTGAAAGTCTGGGAAGTACGAATAAAACTTAGTTTGTATCTTTGCAATAAAATGCTATTTTAGTTATTGCTCTTATGGAATAGCAATTATGTGTCACTGACTTTGAATACACAAAGCTTCCTGCCAGCCTCGTGCTGCCTTGTTTTTTTAATACGTCACATGAACCCTCACCCTTGTCTTCCTCATTAGATAAAACCTAGCAGTTTCTTCATGCAGACCTGAATTATTTAAAGCCTGAGCAGTGAGAATGTGCAGCACATTCTGCTATCAAAGCCATTTAAAAACTCTTGCAGGGCCAGCCAAATAGCTCAGTGGATTAAAGCGCCTGCAAGCAGGCACAGGGGCCGGGGTTCAATCCCGGACTGGCCATGCCAGCCCTGCCCCCAGGGTGCGTTGAGGCAGTGATTGAGACTTGGCGTGGTGGCGTGTGCCTGTAATCCCAGCACTTGGGAGTCTGTAAATGGGAGAATCACTACAAGTCCAATCTAGTAGAACACCCTGTAGTCCCTTCCCTAAAATACAGGAAAAAAAAAAAAAAAAAAAAAACTATATCCATCAGGATAAAGGAAGTCGTTCTGGTCTGACAGACTTCACATGCCTTTAACATTTGCTTCTTAAAGAGGCTTTCTGGTATAACTTCCCCACCCTCCATAATGCCTCTTGGCCTGCTAGGGTTCTCTGTAGCAGCCAGCACTGCGGGACAGTCACCAGGTACTCCTCTAGCTCTCAGCTAGTGTTGAACAGCTCCGACACTAAGAAATTCAAACAGCAGCAGCTCTGTCTATGCATATGACACAGTCCCAAGAGCTGAAGTGAAAAATCTTCCCCTTTACTCAGGTTTTCTGCCTTCATCCTGATAAGGATTCTTTTTTTAAATATTCTCATCACCTTTTAAGAAATAGGAAGTTTATTATTTCAGCGGGATCGAATGCTTGCCTGGCATGTGAAAATGAGTGTGGTATTATAGCTGTGTTACACTGTGCAAGCCCGTGATGAGATTTTGTTTTATTTCTTTAAATATAGGAGATACAGCAGCGGCATGGTTTAGCCAATTCCATCTCTTCCTACCTTATTAAACCAGTTCAGCGAATAACAAAGTATCAGCTCCTTTTAAAAGTATGTATGAAGAATCTTTAGCCTGCAAAATTTCACAAATTGTGGATTGTATCTTGACCTTTTCTTCTCTATATTGCCTTGAAGTTTTGGAAACTAAAAGTTCTATGCTTTGGCATTTCTTGTCCTACACAGTTTCTCATTATAGCACTTAAATTAGAGCATATTCTTGACTTTGTACTGTGCCGACTGGTCCTGTCTCTAATAGGAAGTGTGATGGCGGTGAGAAGCTGTTGCCTCATGGTCGCTGGGTGCCCTTGGCGCCGGGTCACAGCATGCTGGCTGTGGCTGGCATCCTGCTATGTACTTTGCATGCATTTATGTAAGGCAGTGCTGGTCTGCAGGTGTGGAGACGACCCTGGGAAGATCAGAAGGCACCCAGAGTCATCATGGCACCTACTTGTCTGGTCATGGCTTTGAACTCAGCTCTAGCCAGTGCCTGTGTTTTCCACTAAATCTTTAAAGAAGCTATGCACACACTGTTCCCTGTTACTGCTAGTGGTTTATCACATACACTTATGGGGCAGGTTTATACAAATCACAAGCCAAACTGGCTTGTGCTTTTTCTTGGTTATGCTTGATTATAATTAAAATCACACCAGAAAAAAAAATCTAATAATGGTTGGTTTTGACAATACAGAGTTAAAGAAAATCTAGAATTTGTGATATGAGTCGTCACAAAATGTATTATGTATCACTGATACACATTTGCTTGACTATATAAAAATAATCTGCAGCTTATGTCAGGTGATGTGTACTGTGCCATTTCCTTGGCTGGTGAATTAAGCATTAGAATGGTCAAACCATCCATTAACCCCAGTGTCAAAATTTTATGACCCTACTGTGTCCTGGGTGCCTTCCTTGCCACTGAAGTAATAGGTTACAGTGTATTTTTAGCTGTGAAAGAAATCCAGAACTTGAAGTTGACTGCCTGAAACTCTTCTTTGTAAGAAAAAGAAATCTAGAAACAATTTGAATAAACTGCATGCTTTTGTGCAAATAATATTATCATCCTAAGATGTTGGTTCTGGGAAGACTCTTGTGTTCTTCCCTGCCTTGTGCATACCAGGCACGCGCTCTACCACTGAGCCAGTCCCAGTCTCTCTCCTGTGTGTTTATGTTTGAATCTCATTAAAGGATTTTATGGTCATGACTACAGAAATACTTGGGTATTTCCTATAAACATGGAGTAAAAAATCAGGAAGCTAATTTGTTCATATTCAAATCTGCCCTTTGCTGTCTAGTTCTGCAGTTTACCAAAGGCAGTTTACACTTTGGTGTCCTTAAGGATTTTTTTTAAATATATGGAATCAGTTTGTAAGCCTTGCCTCATACTGCCAAGAAGTCCTTCAGGGCAACAGTAATGGGCTGCATGGATCTTCTTAACAAGTGAGGTTTTCTGCCAGTGAAGGTAGTCATTGGACATTGCATTTTTAAAGTTTTTGCTGAGCTGTTCAGTCATAGATAAACATCATCTGGTCACGTGTAGAGGTGCTTGTCAGCTAAGTGAGTTACTCCAAACTGTCCAGCCTGGGGCCAGAGCTGACCACATTCATCCTTTGGGCTGGTCGCACACCTGCTGTTGTTACTGTGTCTGACTAGTCATAGCCATTCACACCCCAGTAAGACATAGCTCAGAGCCTATGACAATGCAGACTTGCTCTGCCTGCTGCCGTTCATTCAGCATTCCCTGCATAGCCCTGAGCTGCACGTGCACGCACAGGTCTCCCCAGGACCGTTGCCTTCTCAGAGCTCTCCTAACCCTGCACACACAGGAGAGGTCTGTGATGGTTGGTGCGCATGCATTACCCTGGCCACTGCTAGGTTCTGGCTGACTGAGTGGGCGTTGTGTTGGTGGCCTCAGGGTACAGAGCCATTCTGGGGTCGTGTGGTCAGTATAGCAGCTAGATTCTGGCATGGCCATCAGTTGCAGTTGGTAGCTGATAATGTGTTATTTACCAGTTATACCTTTCCACTTAATGTTTTTTACGCTGGAGAGTTAACAGCTCTGCTAATTCCATCTGAAGAAAAGAAAGCCATATCTGGTTTACTCTGATATCCTGACTTGATTAGGACAAACCCTGCCATCCAGTGATAGCATCCATGGTGGCATCTATCCACTCACTTTCAATGAGATTATATGTCCAGTTGACCAGTGTGCTCTTACCTTGAGAACCGTGAGTTATCATAGATTCTTATCGTTGGTGGCGCATTTTGTGGTCCTTCTAGTTCACAGTATTGGTGTTCTGCAGGAGCTGCTCACGTGCTGTGAGGAAGGGAAGGGGGAAATTAAGGATGGCCTCGAGGTGATGCTCAGTGTGCCAAAGCGAGCCAATGACGCCATGCACCTCAGCATGCTGGAAGGTAACGGGACTCCACTGCCCTGGCTTGTATCTGTACGACTTTACTTTCCACTGTTATGTAGACCAGTTTCTCAGTGATGTAAACCACGAGAGTTTGGTGGCTCTTCACAATATCATCAAGGGTTCAGCTTACTTCTCTCCATGTTCCATGTTCTGATTGGCCAGGTTCTGGATCTTTTAGACTGCATTTACATTGCATCTGGGAAGAAGTAAGGAAGGAAGGTGGGTGGGGAACCCCACAGACAAGCAGGTGCTACCAGTGTCCTAGTGCCCTCTTCACTTCGCAGAGCAGGAGCTGCTCCTGTCTGCAGAGAGGGCTGCAGTGCCTATTTGTAGTGACTGAGAAGCAGCTCCTGCTGGGAGGAGAGTGAAATGGGACGCACTGAGCAGCCTCTGCCCAGAGCGCATTTGCCAAGGCCTGGGGGCCACTTCCACAGCAAGATAAGCAGTTACAAAGGCAGTGCATGGCCAGAGCAAGGCAGACTAATGCAGAGTGTCCCAGACTTAGAGGATGGGTGGCATGGGATGTCTCAGCGAGCCAAGGCCAGGGGCTGGGGAGAGAGCTCAGCAGTCTAAAGGTCTGCCTGGTTTGATCCCCCGTACTGCATGCATGCCGGCCCTGCTCCCGGGTATGCTGTGCCAGCCACAGAGATTGGGCGTGGTGGTGCACACCTGTAATCCCAGCGCTGGCAAGGCTGAAACGGGAGGATCACTACAGTCTGAGCTGCTGTAGTGAGACCCTGTACCAAATACATTTTTAAAAAAACCCACCAACAACTAAAGAGCCAAGGCCAGACAGTGCCTAGAGAAAAGCCTGGGACCAGAGCAAAGTTCTGGGAAGGGCGTTGGGGCTGAGAAAGCAAAAAGGATCAAGGCTGAGTGGGAAATGCAGGCAGTGTGTGGGTGTCTTGGATGAAGGAGGTGATTCCTTGGAGGAATGCCTGAGTGTAACGTGGGGAGCAGAGGTGAGGGCCAACCAGATCTCTTGTGGTCTGAATGAAGTCACTGGGGAGGGAGGGGACCCAAAGAAAGTAATGCTTAGAAAAAAGTACTGTATCCTTTTTGTTCAGTTCAGAGGTTTAGAGACTAGATTCCAAGACTGGTAAACTGACTGAGGCCGACTAGGCTTTAATGAGCATTTTACCAATGTTCAAGTACTGTCCTATGTGTCACTTTTAAAACATAGTTTTCTTTTACATTGGTTTGTTTGCTCTTATCATGTTACAGGTTTTGATGAAAACATTGAATCTCAGGGAGAGCTCATCCTGCAGGAGTCCTTCCAAGTTTGGGACCCCAAAACCTTAATTCGAAAGGGTCGAGAACGGCATCTCTTCCTTTTTGAAATGTCCTTAGTATTTAGTAAAGAAGTAAAAGATTCCAGTGGAAGAAGCAAATACCTTTACAAAAGCAAATTGTTTGTAAGTATAGACATTGAGAATTTTAAGTTCACAAATAGCACAGTTGCAATCTTTTTGTAGGTGGAGAAAAAGCCAACATTTGTAGCCTTTGGTTTAACCTTAGACTATTCTCAATTCTGTTCTCATCTTCAGTGCAATTCTCTGCCCCCGCCCAAGTCCACTAGGGGGCAGGGTGGAGTTTCATATATGGGAGAATTGCTTTCAATAAATAACACTGTCTAGCCACAGAACAAAAAAAAAAAACATTTTGTAAATGAATTTACAATTGTACCCTAAGTGCTTTAACTAAGCTGTCATACCATTAGTTTTTAACCCGTAGACATTGCGCTACATTCAAGCAACCTTGCTGGGTGGCTCACTGCTTTGTTTTTGTTTTGGGGGGTATTTTTGGCAGGGGGAATAGATATAAGGATCCAACCCAGAAGTGCTGTATTACTGAGCTGCAACTGTAGCCTCTTTTCTTTTTCTTTTTCTTTTTCTTTTTTTTTTGTCTTGGAACAGCACCTCACTAAATTGCTTATGTGAAACTCAAACTCAAGGTCAGGTGTCAATCCTGACCTTCCCTAAGTGCTGGAGTTACAGGCATGCACCACTACACCTGGCTTTACTACAGATTCTGAGTGATGAACTTGAATCTTTTTTTGTTAAAGATAAATTTATGAAAAGAAAATTACAAATTTATGGGTTTTTTTTAAATGACAAGGTATTAGAGAAAGTGTGTGTAAGCAGCAATAAAGTTTGAAAGAGCTGTAGGGCATCTGTGTAAGACCGCGCACTTGGGTGCTTGGCAGCCCCAGTGCTGTGTGCTCATTGCTGCCCGGTCTGCCAGTGTCCTTCAGGTGACGGACATGTACCTGGCCCCGTGACCAGCCCAGCTGGCTTCCATAAAGTCGTAGTCCACTCTTAGAACAGTCTACGCCAGGGCTGTCCTCCAGGTACTGTGCATGTCCATCTTCCTCAAGGGCCATCTCAGGGCTGTCCACACAGAACTTGCTGGGCAGGGTCAGATGAAGAGAAGCTTGGGTGAGACCAAGGGGAAATCACTGCCTGCCGAAGAATAGAAGCTGCCAGCATGCTGGGTTGTGTAGTGGCAGGTTTCTTCTAAATGCTGGTTGATACATGGAGTTTGGACAACTTACATGTTAAACATTTGAATGGTATCTATGTGATAAACTCCTAAAATAATAAATACTCCCAGGTGTAGAAATCATCTTAATAATAATACTAAATTTGCAAGTTTGAACTAATAGTTCTCATGCCAGTTTCTTTGGCAGACATCCTGCTTGAGGTTATCTTTGGGTCACAGGTTATATCATTTTAGGTCACATTCTGAGTGGAAAGCAAAAATGCAGTGTTATAGGCCAGTAACTTCACTAGCTGGCTTTCATCTGCCTTTAGAGACCAAGCTAGTCTATTTTAGAAACTGATCCATCTTCACTTAATTTGTCCTTTAAAAGTTAAGATTCCCACAGAGGCTGCCTCCAGAGATAGAGATTATGAATCACTTCCTCTGCAGGAGAAAGGCTCTATCGGATAAAATTTGTGTGGGGGGGAGGGTGTTGGACATGTCTAACCTGAGCTGCACTAGGCCATGTTACACATGTATCACAAAGAAAGACTTTGCCTCTTAGCCCATAGAGTTATTGGTGATAATACTAGACATTAGGGGCTGGGGAGATAGCTCAGTAGAATAAGCGCTTGCCTGGCAAGTACAAGGTCCTGAGTTCAATCCTCAGTTCTGCAAAAATAATAATAATAGTAGTAGACATTAATGCTATTGATTTTTTTAAAATGAGAAGGAGCTGGCTATGTTGGCACATGCCTGTAATTCCAGCACTTAGGAGGCTGAGGCAGGAGAATTGCTGTGAGTTCAAGACCAGCCTGGCCTACAAAGTGAGTTGAAGGCCAGCCTGAACTATATAGTGAGACCCTGTCTCAAAAGGACAAAAAAAGAAAAATAACTAAATATTTAAAACATTGGCTTTTGTGAAACTGTCATTAGTGCTAAAAATTCATGGAAGCAACCAGTTTAGAGCTAGCAAAGATTCATTTCATGGGCAGTTTGATTGGAAACAGCTCTTGATTTTCTGGGTTCTTCTGATTGTTCTGTTTCTTTACTTGCATTGGGATTCCTAATATAAGTCAAGAAGGTGAAAGAAAAAATAGTCACATGTGGTTTAAGAACAAAATCTTCATTTCAATAAAAGGGTTACCTGATAATGCAGAGGAATTCTAATAACCTGGCATGATAAAAAGTAATAAAAACTATTTTTCTTTGTTCTACATCCTGTCAGAATTTTATTGTCATCTAATTATATAATTGTCTTTTATCTAGACCTCAGAGTTGGGTGTCACAGAACATGTTGAAGGAGATCCTTGCAAATTTGCACTGTGGGTGGGGAGGACACCAACTTCAGATAATAAAATTGTCCTTAAGGTATGTGCTTTTAAAAGTGTGTGTGGGGGGGGAGTTTTCTTGTTGAAATATGCAGGTGTGGGGTGTGTGTGTGTGTGTGTGTGTGTGTGTGTGTCTGTTGGAATTGATAACCACCACAAAAACAATAGTGGAATAAATGTACTTTGGTGTTCTGGTAATTTGAGCTAAACTTCCACTTGCCTCTCTTCCTATAAAGAATTAGTTGGTTCTGTAAGCCAGGCCGAAAGTTAAAGAAAGAAGGGAATCAGATACAAACCAGCACCTCCCACTGCACACTTGACTTGAGCTTCCAAAGAGAAAAAACACCTGATGTATTCATGAGGGCCTTTGGCAGGAAGTTGAGGCCAGTGTGCCAGGAGTCAGTGGAGGGCTCTTGACTCTTGTTTTCTGGTTTGGGGACAAAGCAAAAAGGGAGTTGATTATCTGTAACAGCGTGTGACACTGCCATTATTTGAGGTTCAGAGATACAAAGGGTGCTTTGGGGTGTCTAGTATTTTGGGGAGGACATATCTTTGCACATTTTATTTGAACTCAGCTTTGAGTATACTGACCTCTCCTCAGCAATAACAGAGACCTTAAAGGAGTCTTGTGTACTTTCCCCTTCATATGTTTGAGAAAATGCAGATGGAGCTGCCTTTGTAAGCTGTCTGGATAGACCATAATTGGCCTCAGGATGTTTGGGGGAAGGTAGAGCTAAAGATTTGTAGAATATTGGAAATGAGCCAGAAATGTAATGGGGCTCATGAGAGAAGTTACACGTGAGCATTTTCGGGCTGTTCAGCTGTATCTTACTCTTTCAGTCTCTGCTCTTTGGGGACTACTGACTATGGTTTTTAGGTATTTATTCACATGTTAAGGATATGTTGTTTAGCAGCGAATGTCTGATTAACAACCCAATGTGTTTTTGTCAGCCCTATAAATTATAAATTGTACTGCTAGCTAAATTTTAGATAAGGCCCTTAAAACTCCAGTTTACATAACATACCCAAATGAGCAATAGTGGCAGATGCCAAAAAGTGGTTCTATGAAATAAAGCCAAATACCCAGTTTTCATTTAGGATATAGTGAAATGCTTTTAATGCTGTTTAAAGTATAGGACTTACTTCAGGTGTCACTACATGAAAAATTTCCAGGGAGGTTTAGGTAACATCTCTGACTTTACAGGAGTTGAGGGAATGGTGTGTGTGTTAGTTTCAGAGAGTATCGCAGCATCACTGATGGGGATGGTGTTATGATGGTGTGGATTTTGGTGATGGCGGTGTAGATGGCAGGAACGTGGTGTAGCTGGTGCTGGGTGTAGGTGGTAAAGTGTAGTTGATGGTGGAGACTGGGGTAGTGCAGTGGAAGTGGTGATGGTGAGGAGAGCAAGGAGTGGCGCGTTGGGTGGGGAGGCGTAGGTGGCCACCTCAGCGCTGGCGTGCTGGGACTGCTGCAGATGGAGGTGTGGTGGTATTGGTGAGGATACTGGAGCTGGTGTCCGTACCGAGAGCCTCTTGCTACTGAGTCTAAATGTGGTACAGATGGAGCTGTAACTAACTGTTGGAGGTGCTGAAGGTCCTGGTGGAATGGCAGTACTAGATGTAATTATCGAGTAGTTGTAAACCAAAAACTCTTTTTTTATAGTCTTCAAAGAAGATCTTTATGTCTGGGTCTCCTAGTAAAGTTTGAGACTGCCCTGAGTGTGACATAAATTATTTATTTGTCTTAGTCAAGTGTGGTACCTTATCTTTACCTCAACTTTAGTTGAGTTACCTTTCTCTTACAATTTTTGAAAATGTAACACCTTTTGATTATTCTCCATAAGTGCAATGAACATTTCACGTGAGAATTTTCTCAACAATTTTTGTTGTTTCTAAACTCTTCAAATGTTCTTTCTCATGTGTTTCTCTTCAGTCTCCAAATATTTGTATCAGATATTTAAATTCCAATAGATCAATGGTCTCCAAAGTTTTGTCCTTTATTTCCCAGTTTTGCTACTCTAACCTTAAAGACATATCCTCCAGTTAACACATTTTATATAGAAGGAGAGTCACTAATTTTAATTTCTTCCCAACTCAGGGCAGTCTTTGGTTTTCACTTTTTTCAGAAACAAGTTTCTGAGTGACAAATACTGGGCTCCCCTCCCTTCATGATCTCATCTATAATCCCACTGACAATTACTTTAATCATTTAGAAGGAATTATGCTTATATCATAAGAGGTGGATGTTTCCCCTAAAGAAATGAGCTGTTAGGCACAGGACATATAAAAAGAAAAAGAAGCCTCCCTTGAGGCAGAGCAAAAAAAAAAAAAAAGCAGAAAAAATGATACCACATGTATTTGTTCAACGGAGGCTTGTTAAGTTCTATCTGCTGTTTCCAGAGAATGTGTCCCTGAAGCTGTAATGGTACTGAGGTTAAGCCACCCTAGCTGCCTGGCAGTTGGTACTTTGTAGTCTTGGGCACAGATCTTACTGCACCCACACCTGAGTCCCTCATGCCTAAGAAGGTTACAGTGGGTGCGCCTCCACGGAGTGCCTGTGGGCGATGCCTCAAGGCACAGCCTGGCCACAGGAGGGTCAGTAGCTGTTGTCCCCAGAGGCCAGTAGATGTGCAGAATTGTGGGGTTCTTTTACTTTCCTGTTGAGAAGCCACTGACCAGGGCAGAGTCTGCCTAAACCTCAGTGACATTTTGCTTTGAGAGTGACTGTTTTCCTTTTTGTCTAATGCTTCTAAGGTCTTCGGGCTGGGTAATGGTAAACAATTCTAATAGTCAGATCTAGAATAACATATATGCTATAAAATTAAAATCTTACATTTAAAATTGGCAAATAAAACATAGCTTGGGGCTGCTTCTCTGCTAAATTCTCTTGAAAACAGGAGACTGGAGGGAGGTAGGAGAATTGAAGTGGCTCACGTTGGGACAGAAAGAGCCCTACTGTGTCCTGAGTGACTCTAACACCTGGTTTAGGCTTCTAGTATTGAGAACAAGCAGGACTGGATCAAGCACATCCGTGAAGTGATCCAGGAAAGGACAATCCACCTGAAAGGAGCCCTCAAGGAGCCCATTCACATCCCCAAAACCGCGCCAACAGCCAGGCAGAAGGGCAGGAGGTGAGTGTGTAGCCTTTCCTAATACACTTCCCTGGCTCAGAGGGGCAGGCAGTGGTAACCCACCATTGTTTGAAAATTCTCAAACATTTGGAGGTACCAAATGTGTTTTAAAATACTTTTGTATATAGTGTCATCCTTTATGATGAAACTGAAACTGCTTTGTCAAGAAGCTCCACTTGCTTAGAGAAAACATAAACTATGTGCAAACCCTCTTGCTTTTCCCCTTCCTGCCCAGGTGCCATCAGTGCACATGTGTAACTGTGTAGGATTTGGACACGATATGAAGCATCTACACATTTCTGTTTTCTCGTTTCTAAAATGAAAATAATCTATCATTTCTTTATGATGAGAATTCAGTGTGATGACACACTTCCTATACTTCACAGAGTGCCCAGCGAAAGAGCCTGCACTCAGAACAGACTGACTTACTACCATTACTATGATGTTGGCTATAAGAAATGCTGCAGCTTCTTTTAGCACATCTTACTTCCCCGACAACTGAGAGGTGATCTTTACCAGTCCAACTGTGTCAGGAATTTACAGTTTCTTTGCACCACCAGGGATGGAGAAGACCTGGACAGCCAAGGGGATGGCAGTAGCCAGCCTGATACCATTTCCATTGCCTCCCGGACATCTCAGAACACACTGGACAGTGACAAGGTGAGCTGGCCAGCACCTCCTCTGCGGAAGCCACGTAGCAGGTCTGATCTGTTTCTGTCTAGTCATAAAAGCCTGCCATCGACATTTTTAACAGTTGCTGTGCATCTCGAGTGTGCCAGGCCCGATGGCAGAGCCAGAGACTTCAGGGATGCGGGCTGAGAGGACTTTAGTATGGCGGATTCAAGGGACATCGCCCTCCTCTTTCTGTCTACCCTTCCACGGCTCAGGTCCCTTTCATAGTGTAAAATGCATAGTCTGTCTACAGGAGTCCCTGCTATCTCAGTGGTCTGATTTTCCTCCAGAATTTAAAATAGAAAATCTCTGAGACTCAAGGCCATCTCTTAGTTGTGAGCCCCTGTAAAAATGTAAACAAGTTACATACTTCCAACAGACAGTGGTGCAGGGGAAACATTCCTGTTTCAAAAAATCACGGGGCCGGGAAGATGGCTCAGTGGAATAAGCGCTTCCCTGGCAAGCGCAAGGGCCTGAGTTCAATCCCCAGTTCTGCAAAAAAAAAAAAAAAAAGTCACAACACTCCAGTAGGTTTTTTGTTTTGTTTTAATATGTAGGGTGTATATTTCCTTTTGTATTCCTCACTGAGACTAGAGAAACTTAACAGGCTCTAAAGTATGAAAAAGAAAATGATGACACATGTTTCTACAGTAAAAGAGCTACTGGGTGTCCTCCATTCTCTGTGCATTGGCATTTGAGGTTAGAACAGCCAGGTGTGAGCCCAGTCAGAGAGGCACACCCGTTGGACCTTAGGAAGATGACAGAGAGCTTAACACTGCCTGCATTTATGGATTTATTTTTGAAAGATTTTTTTTAGTTACTGCCATTTTTGTTCTCTAGTAAAACATTTCAGAGTCAGATGATTCAAGAGAATATGTTTTAAACATTAGGGGGCATCTCTTCCTGAGTTAGTTTATGAAATGCACTGTCTCTGAATTAAAATCTTTTTGTTAGTACTTGTGTGCAGTACCTAATAATTATATTACATTCATTATTTCATTGTGGGGAATTGTTACATATACAAAGCACATCTTAATTCCAGTTAGACTTAACCAGCCGTCCCTGATCTCCAGTGACAGGAAGTTTCCATGTGCCTCAGGGTCTCTCCACCCTGCATATTTCAATGTAAGCAGCCCCAGCCCCATGACCTGGGCAGATGGATCTGGGAAGGGAAGTCACTGAACAGTCAGCCTTGCTGACTTGGCGTGTGATGTCTGCTCTGCATTAGTCCTTATCGTGGAATGTGACTACAGTTCAGAATCTGGGTGGGGGATGTTTTTGACTCAGCCACTTGGAGAATTCTGAGGGAAAAGTTATCTTGCTGGGCTGTAATTCTCAGATGAGACGCAAAAGGTTTAGGGTATGAGTCTGTTAAGGAGGGGCTCTGGAGACACCCTCTTTCTAGGGAGCAGTGTGAAGGGGCTGCCCTGGGCTGGGCAGAACACAGGCTGCACACTTGTTCTGAGCAGCCTGCCTTTTTGAGAACCTCACTGTAAAAATATGCTGGTCTTTGTTCCAAAAGTGTGTTAAGCACTGGCGCTTGCATGGCACTTAAGCTGATAAAGTGATCTTGTGAAAATGTAATTTAGGCTCCAAACAAATCAAATGCTGTCCAGATTCTTATCTCACTTGTCCTGAGCACATTTCCCTGAGGTAAGGAGGAGAGTGCTAAGCCAGCCCTGGGGCCCGCAGAAGGCGAGCCAGATAGCAAATGTGGATTTGATCATCTGGTGTTCTGTAGGCCCTTGTATTTCATGCTACAACTGAATTTGTACCTAAATATGCTTAGTATGTTAAAGAAGCATTTTTAGCAACTTGATTGCCAGCCTTCACCTTACTAGAGTGATTTACATCATGTAGCTAAAATCTGTATTATAAGGAAAGTAGAAAATATGGGAATCAAACAAAATGGCCAGAGCCAGATGAATGTCCTTGGTGGGAGCCAGCATTTTCACAAGAGCCTCGGGGGCCGCTTGTGGGCTGTCCTCAAAACTCCTAATAACACAGGCTCACTTCCACCAGTGACAGATTCAGTTGAAACTGATACTTCGCATGACCTCTATTGAGCTCATAATGTGAATCCAAGGACCCACAGATTTTTTTTAAAAGGTTATTTAGGGGCCCATGAGATAGCTCAGCAGTCTAAAGCGCCTGTGTAGGCAAGTTTAGGCAGGCACAGGGGCCATGCTTGCTCCCCAGCACTGCCTGGTGCCCCAGCCCCGCCCTCAGGCTGAGCTGTGCTGGCCAGAAAAAAAGGGGGAAAGGTTACTTAATGAAGCTGTATCTCAAGAATGCACTGCTAGAGGCTTGTGTTCTCTGTGTTTTAAAAAATCAGCTCTTCCTGTCATGGCATTCTACACTCCAGGAATTTGGTTGGATGTAGGTAAACTACAGTCGAGGTAGTATGTAAAGAAGTTAATTCTAGTACATTTGAAAGAAACAGCACAACTCAGGTTCTAAAGAAAGGAATATCTGTGTGAAAACCCTCGAGTCCAGCCTGCTGTGGAAGACCAGTTCCCTTCATTTTGCCTCCATTTGTTATCTCCCAGGCACAGAAAGACACAGCTGGCCTGAGTGGAGGCTGAGCCTGGGCCTCTGTGCCCTGGGGCACCCAGAGTCCTCCAGGTCCCCTGAGGGTCAGGCCATGGGCTTTGTCTCCTGTGACAGCACTCCAGACCTCAGCTGGTCTTGTGCTCTGTATGTGGGAGTGATGGAGGACGTATGCAGGGGCAGGAACACACCAAAGAGCAGGTGATTATGAACGAGGGTGCACTTACCAGCAGACCTTTAGCTTCAGTGTTTCTGCACCTCCTCCACTGGTCATGGGCAAATTACTTACCAACTGTCCCTCCGTTTGCCCATCTATACATGGGGTTGGTACTACTCCCCTTGCAGGGTTGGGAGCACCAGAACAGGTGCACAGTGCTTAGCACAGTGCCTAGCGTACTTGGAGCCCTGCACGAATAGCGGCCTCTTCTTGATACTAGCAGCTTCCTGCTCCTGCCTCTCTGCTGGGCTGACTTCTATGGCCGCTCCCCTTGCTGACTGCTGTGTGTATCAGCCTCAGTCTCTCCTCTTTCTGGATGCTTGTGATCACAATAGATTTTTTTTTTAATTTAAAATTTTTGGTCACAGTGAATTTTTTTATTTTTTATTTTATTTTATTTTATTTTTTTTGGCAGAACCAGGGATTGAACTCCGGCCCTTGCACTTGCCAGGGAAGCGCTTATTCCACTAAGCCATCTCCCCGACCCCCACAGTGAATTTAGAATCCCACTGTTTGTTAGGAGCTAGAAACTGCCCTAAGAGTGAATGGCCCTCCTTGAGTGCCCGGTCTTGCATACCTGAGCAGCTCCCCAGCAGTGGGGACACTGTTGAGTGGGCACAGCACGTGGCACCTGCTCAGTACGTCTTCCTAGCAGTGAGACCTCAGAATGTTCATATTGTGGGTTCTTTCATCCACAGCTGTGAGTCTTCCTCCCAGTAGATGCAGGGATAAGTTACATTTTATTTGTTCCCTTCTTCTATTAATCTTTGTTTTCTATTTTCCTAAGTGCCTGTGCTTTTTTGTAGCATCTCTAAAGTGCCCTCCTAAAACCCTAAATGAACACAGCCAATTGTAACTTCACCCAGTCAAGAAACAAAATCCCCCAAGCTACAGTAAGAAACTTTAGTTCTAAGAAAAGGCAGATTTTTGAAAAATTTACTAGAAATGATTAGAAATGTAACAAATTAAAAGTGCTTATAAAAATAGTGAGGCAGTCCTAGCCCAGGCCCGGTGAGTGTGTGGGAGAGATTCCTGCTACCCTGCGCCGGCGGGACCTACTACTGGTCCCAGCCCAGGCACAGAGTGGGTAAGACCCTCTTCCACCCCCTTGGGACGCCCCCCACCACTCCGCAGCACCTCCCCCACCCCGCCCGCCGAGTAGGAATTTCTGCCGCGTTCCGGGAACCCCCAGACCCAGTCCTAGCCCAGGCCCAGTGAGTGTGGGAGAGCTGCCTCCCCCCTACTCCACCTTGTGCCCCCAGGCTCAGCTCAGGCCTGGCATACAAGCCTGGGGTGAAACCCTGCAGCTGCCATCCCTGCAGAGAGTGCAGAGGATAGAACTACCCAGCTAGTCCAGGAGCAGAAAATCTTGCCAGAGGGGCACAACAGGTTCAGCCTCAAGGGCAGCAGCAGGAAGGAGCTGAGCACAGCAGCCAGACCCAAACCAGGCACAGCTAGATAAAAATAGTGAGGCACTAGGGCTGAGGATATAGCTCAGTGGCATTAGAACCTCCCTGGCAAGCAAAAGGTCCTGAGTTTGATCCCCAGTACCAGCAAAAAAAAAAAAAAAAAAATAGTGAGGCACTGAAAAATGCTTTTAGTATAAATTTTATATGACATGATCCAAGTTACTTTTAAAAATGATGATGAAGTTTTGATTCAAACTGTAGCTCGCCCCTCCTGGTGAGATGCCCGGGCTGACTAGCTAATAGTTTAGTTCTACAGAGAAAACCAGCAGAAGGCCCTTCTAGCAAAGCCATCCTAAGAAGTGTCTTATCCCCCCGAGCCTACCAGTGTGAGGCAGATCCTGCTTCCACCTTCCCGGGAGCAGGGCTTTTAATTCCCACGCCACCCGAGCATAGCTGTCCTCGCCCTGCTTTTCCCTTTGGCAGTTGGAGTCTGCCTCTCTAGTTGGCTCTTAAGTTTAGCGTTCTTACATCCAGCATTCTGCTCCAGATCATGTGTATGGCCGTTCAAGGAAGCTTTCCTAGGTGTCTGTTACATCACAAGCCCAGTGTGTGATTATGTTGGTAAAAAGCAGAGTAAGTGCCATCTCTCACACTGCACCCACAAATTCTTTTGGAGATAAAATGTCAGACATGGTAAACTGCTAGTTTTGGAAAGGTTTTGTGTTTTGTTTTTTCTCATAGATTTTTGGGGCTTTTTTTTTTTTTTTAATTCCGGTGAAAAGCTGTAACAAAATTTACCATCATAACCATTTTTAGTTCTCCCAGGTTTCTTTGTGTACCTGCAGTAATTGTCTTTCAGACTCCCAGCAACAAGACCTTCATAAATGCTTCTTCATGATGCTAACCCTAGGTAAACCAGCACTGGCACTGGCGTTGGCGTGGTGGTGGGAGGCCTGTTGTCAGGCTGTAAGACGGCTGCTAATAAGCTCTGCCTTTGTGAAGTGGCCCGCAGTGGGCAAGAACCTGGGGCATGGCTGCATTTGTTCCGGGGATCATTCCAGCTGCCGACTGCCAACTTTTTTGTGGCTGTTGCCAGTAATGGAGCTGTACTCGCTAATCCCCTTTAACCAAGTAATCTTTTTTGCTCTGCTCTGTGTGAAACCTTCATGAAACCACATGACTCTTTTGTGAGGTTTCTGAAGCAGGCTATAGGGTACGACTGTTCCGAAGAGTTTATACACTTTGTTCTTTAGGGAGAAAACCAGCTTTTGTTAGACCACATTTCCTCTTTCTTTCTGAATTGCTTTCCAGAAATTGGCCAGATACCCACCTGCAGTTGACCTCTGACACCTTAGGCTGTGGGCTCTTGAAATGGCCTCATTGGCAGGAGGCTACACTACCTACTGTGCCACTCCAAAGAGCTCAGTGCCACCTCCCAGACCTGTCTAGAGCTCAGTTTGGGCATGCAGACTGGGTGTTTGCTGTTGTCTATCAAGAACTATGTGTTCCTGTGACACAACACTATACCACACCAGGATGGGGGCTGCTGGGGAAAGTGGACAGAGGCAGCTGTAGGCACGCCCACTGCGGAGCAGTCCCCTGCCAGGGCCTGTTCAGCTAAGGCTGAGGCAGGGCAGCCATAGGGCATGGTTTGTTGTTTTTTTTTGTTAGGTAAAGAGTGAAATTGTATAGTGACTGCTAAAGATTCGCAAATCTGTGACCAAAGGATTGTCATTCTTTACGTGAGGGGCAGGAACTTGTTCTTTTCAGTCATTCTGGAAAGAAGCAGCCAGAGCCCTGTCTCGGTTGTGCTAATTATCCATGTTTCTGGGCCCCACAGTCTGTTTATTGCCATCTCATGTGCATTAATAGTTGCCACATTAATATTTTAAAGGTGAAAACCTAAACAGTTTTTTAAAATCTATCTTTGGATGTGTGTTCACCAGTGTTAATGTAAGTCATGGAATCTGTTGTGTTCTTGAACTAAATGTATGTGTTAAGTCCATGATAGAAGTCTGTAAAATGTATTAAAATGAAAAAGATACACTTTCACAAAACATGGCTGTAAAAGAAACATGATTTTTAAACTAGAGAAATGAAGTGATAACGTCAACATAGTGATGAAAACAAGTGGCTGAGGGTGGAAACGCTGGGAGGGAGACTTCCTCACCTTTAATGCTGTAAGGTACGTTATCTGACCTCAGTAGGAAGTTAAATTTTCTTAAAAAACAGTGATGATTTATATTAGTTTCTTAAAGTACTTACTACAGCTTTCTTACACAAAAGAGAAGTTGTGTAGGAAGAGGTTGAAAATACCTGTGTGCACGCTGTGAGGAAAATCCACAGGACAGCTCTTCTCTGGGGAGGGCACCCGTCTGCTCCTTCCCTTAATGATGTGGGTGTGATTCATCTCTCTGCTTAAGAGTAAAGCCCATTGAATGAGAGATATGAAGATTTTTTTCTAAGGTGATAATTTAGCACTGTTTGAAATATTACCCTGATAATAGATTTTTTTTAAGTTCTAGAAAAAAACATCAAAAATGTTTTAACTTTTTTTTCTTGTCAGAACAGGCTTGATTTTTATTTCTTTTCTTCTGTCAAGTACACAGATGGTTCCAATCATTTTTGGTTACTCTGTAAGGGGCTAAAAAATCAATGCCAGAAAAAGTCTAACTTAATTCTCCTTCTCGGGCAGCCCCTCTCCCCGTTCCCACACTTCCCCCACCCACAAAACTCTTGCTTGGCTGTGAGCAGTCTGAAAATTAAGACCCTGGAGAACAAAGGCATTGAAGCCCCAGATGAGGTGGTGTCCTTCCCAGGGGCTGCGCTGAGGCTGCTGGAAGAAAGCCAAGGCAGCCCACTCACCCCTACCAGAAGCTGAGGCCAGGCCTGCGGGACACAGGAAGGGCAGGGCAGCAGGGCCCTGTTGGAGTTCACAGACTGGTCCTGTTGCCCTGGAACAGGGAGCTCTGCTTCGCTTTGTTGTAGGGATTAACCAATCCTTAGCACTGATTCTGCGAGGAAAATGCTTTTCCAGAGTGGCCTTCTACCATAGCCTCTTCACGTTAGCACCTTTGTTCAGAGACATGTATGTACGTTAGTGTGCTAGCCCCATGGAGAAGTTTGCAAGACTTAAAAGGGAATTAAACATTTGTGGACATTTTCTCTGGCCTACCAAAGATGATTCGCTTTGTTGATTGTTAGTCTTTATGGTAGACTAGTTTTGTTTTGTTGTACTCTTTGTGGTTGTCTAGCAGACATGTGTTTCTCATTAGAAATCTCCAAACTTTCCCTAAGAGGCAGGCCATGAGAGCAGGACAGTTGGCATTGCAGAGCATGACGGAAGGCAGCAGTCAGCCCTCGGGGTGTGCTGTGGCCTGGGACACAGCTCAGGCACGAGCTGCTGGAGGAGGCGCAGGCTCCCCAGGCCCCTGGATATGTCCAGGGGCCTCTGAGGGCAGGAGGCCGGGCTGCTCCTTCCCCCTCCTTAGCACAGGGACTGTGTCCCCAACACTGCTGCAGCCTTCAAGTGACATGAACAACAGAATGGGACTTTGTGCAGATGGAACGTGGGCACAGCTAGCTCCCGAAGTCACAGAGCAAAAGCTATGCTCCACTTGTATTTTCCAAAGGCATTGCCTTCCTCGTTAGAGCGAGTGTTTTATTATTTTCAACAAATGTTTGAATACTTGCAAAGGGGAACTCTGCTCTGGTGGTGCGCCGGCAAGTCATGTGCTTGCCCTTACGCTCTGTAAGGACCACATGGGCCCTGTCTCTGCCCTCAAGGTGGGGGCACTGAAGTTCGCAGGAAAGTGACACAGACCTGCTGTCTGGGGGTGGGAGCAGACACCACTCACTTCAGAATTGCAGTATCAGTTGCTGCCAAACAATTCTGGGCCTGGCAGGTGTAGGAGAGGCTTTTCAGCGGGCTCAAACAGGGAATGTACCGATCAGCTGGGGGTATGGAAGCACCCAGACATGGGGATGCCATGGCCAGGCATGTGAGTGCCACCTCAGAGGTAGCAGAAGGGCACTGCAGGATGTGAGCAGGTGGACCTGCTAAGGCAGGTGGAGCCTTGAAGCCTGTGCCAAGGAACTTGCGCTGAGGCTCTTGAGTAGGATGTTCTTTAGTAGGAGGAACAGCAATGTGCAGATGACTAAGGGAAGCACGGAGTCAATCAGGAAGGTCACTTACAAGGTCACTGCAGAACAGGAAATGAAACATTTGCTGCGTACAGGGAAGAGTCAGCAGGTCACCTTGGAGCCCAGTTGATGGCCTTTGGAGGCCAAAAGAGTGCAAGTGGTTGACCCTGGGGGATTGTCATTGACAGTATTGCCCGAGGCACCACCGGAAGAGAAACACCTGGCAGTTGAGCATGCTGAGTCCTGTCCTGGCCTCATACATGGAGGGAGAGGGGAGAGTGCCAGGTACGCAGCAGGAGTCAAGCACAGGACTGCCCTGGTGCATCCTTGGGAGGAACAGTATGAGGTGTGGGGAGACAGAACCCGGGCCCCCCTGGAGTCGGGGTTCATATGTAGGAGAGATGCTAGTGAGCTGATGAGTTACACTCCAGGATAAGACATCAGGACACAGGCTATGGGAGGCCGCGCCTGGCCCACAGCAGGGAGTGTGGAGGTCCGTCTTCATGGAGCTGTGGAGGCTGAGTAGTGTCATTTGGCAGAAAATGGAAGTGAGTAAGAAGAAAAAGGCACTCAGAGTGAAGGCCTGACAAAAGAAGGCCAGGAGCTGGGCCTAGAGGCCTAAGAGTTGAGGGCAGGAGCAGCACAGCAGGTGGGTTGCTGTTAGAACTAGACACAGTTTTTACTTGAGCTGCCCAGTCTTTTTGTGCCTGAGACATTCTGTCTCCTCCCAGCAAAAGAACTACATGCTTGGTCTTTTAGCTCACAGCAAACTGATGAAACCTGTTTACTGGCTGCTTAGGGCGTCATTGTAAAGTACCATGATGAAATGCAGAGTGGAAAGGGAGCCCTCAACAGGTCCTGAGGAGAGCTGTTCCAGGGTATCCAGCCTGTCTTCTTTTTGCCGAGGCAGTCAGATACTCCAGTATAAGGAAGGCCCAGTCACCATCCTGAACAGAATTGGGAGTGGAATGTTACTTCATTTTATTGTCATATTTCATAATAAGCTAAGTCTAATTTAAATAGATTTTAATTGGCTTGCCGTAAGTTTAGAGTACTTTTTGAGGCAAAACATACCACATTCTGGCATGAACCTTAAAACCCAGTGTTGGAACCGGAAAAAATACCTATCTGCATGGTTCCCAAGGGCACCAAAGGGGTAGTGTGGCCACCACTTTCTCTCCATGTGATCTGAATTTCAGCTGTGCCCACAGAGGGAAGCTTGTCGCTTGTGCTTGCTGACCTGTCCCTCTTCCTCTGTTTCTCTCCAGCTCTCTGGTGGCTGTGAGCTGACTGTGGTGATCCATGACTTCACAGCATGCAACAGCAACGAGCTGACCATCCGTCGTGGCCAGACAGTTGAGGTTTTGGAGCGTCCACATGACAAGCCTGACTGGTGCCTGGTGCGCACCACTGACAGGTCCCCTGCAGCAGAAGGCCTGGTGCCCTGTGGCTCTCTTTGTATCGCCCACTCCAGGAGCAGCATGGAGATGGAAGGCATCTTCAACCACAAAGGTAGGGCCACAGGAAAGGGCAGTGGCTCCTGCTGTCTGTTGTTCTCTGAATCAGGTGCACCATCATTGCATTTTACTGGCTCCCTGTGCATTTCTGATCTGTCAGGCACTGAGTGGGAATCAGAATTTCACCTGATACATAGAAATATTAAGAAGTGACCTCCTTCTTTCCTGAGGTTGTAGTATAAGGCGTGATGTGATGTCAGCTTGGAAGAGAAGAAGGGGCTGCTTTGTGGGGGAGCCAGTACCACTCATCCATGGAGGAGAAAGAGCAGACATGGCCCACCTGCAGGTGTGCAGGAAACACACAGGGAGGGGAAGGGGGAGCCTTCTCAGCTCTCCTGAATTAGTTTCTGAATCCAGTTCCTGAGTCATTCAGGTTCTTTCTTTTGTTAGCATTAAGTTCTAAGAAATTAAATATGCGGGCCTGAGAAGATAACCATTCCATTTTTATAGCTTTTGAAAAACCAGACCTCACAACTGCCCACTTGGGCAGGGCATGGAGCAGGACCCTGCAAGACCAGGTGTGGTGGGCAGCGCCTGGTGCAGAGCTTTGCAGCTGCCAGGAAGGCACCTTGGGAAGAAGTGCTTTTAGGCTGGAATACCAGAGCGGATGAGAGGGGCAATATTTGGTATTCTTAGGTGACTCCTTTAGACAATCGGAGCAGGACAATGACAGGTTCTCACAGAGTTTGTGACTCTTTGTCTCAGAGGCCTCACCATGGCAACCGTAAAACAGATGTGGGTGCTGAACCCTTGAAGAGTGTTTCACCTGGATAGAGGTGTGCTGCAGGTGTAAGTTGCACTGGCGTGTGTGAGAAGCTAGTGTCCTTACATTATAGTCATCACATGTGGGAAGGACTATAGACGAGGCTGAGTGCATCATTAAGTTGCCTGTTTTCTGGGCTGAGGGGACCGCTCACAGGTGGAGCGCTTGCCTAGCATTGGAAGGCCCTGTGTTCTATCTCTAGCACCATAAAAACAATACTTTTTAATTTTATTTCATATGGCTTTAAGAATATCTTGACTATTCGTGTACAGCCTATATTACATTTGTACTGCACAATGCTGGCTGTATCTTCTCTCCTGTTGAAATGCTATTTGAGCCGTTAAGGCCTTTGAAGAAACGCCAATCTATCTGTCACTTTTGCGGAGGTGTGGGAGGGTCATGCTTGTACACTTGAGCTGCTCTGTGTGTAGTCCTTTCTTGCAGTACTTGCAGGTAGCCCATTCTTCCAGATTGAGAGTATGCTGTTTCCCTTTCCTGAGGGAGTATCTCTGTACTCTGCCATACTGTTTCTTTTCTGTTAATTTGAGAACATTCCAGTGGCTTCCATCACTTGCCCTTGATGCCCTCGGTACACTCGCTGTGACACACTCTGGGGCTGTCCTCCAGCTGTGGGTTAGTCATGCCCTGAGCTAAATGCAGCCGCATAGGATGCAACTACTGATTAGCTCACCCCATTAATTATAGGTCCTGCCATGCTCCGGACCCCTAGGAGCCTAAGTATGAACTTATTATCTCCTCAATGAGAAACAGGAAGAACAAGATTTATTTCTGCTGGGATCTGGTGAGAAAAGCAGAGAATATTCACACTTCAGCCAAGAGCTGAGGGGTCTAATTTCATTCCTAGTGGAGCTGTCTGTGTTTTGAGTGGAGCGTTGGCCTTCCTAAGACCCATCAGATGGCTGAGCTCAGCACAGTAGGGATCCGTGCTGTGCCAAGCTCTCTTTAACCTGCTGCCACAGCACCTGCTGCTGTGTAATGTGTGGGAAACTCCTTGAGTTCAAGTAGAAAATAAAGTCACACTTTTTTCCTTAAGTTATTGTAGCCTCCCAAAGGCTTATAAATTTTACTTGCTACAAATAAATCTTGTTCTGAAAGACTTCCTTTTGTATGAGTCTTCCCGTGGTGTGTTCTTGTTTCCTGGTGTTTACAATTGCAGCCTCGCTGAGGGGAAAGAACTATGTATTTCCCACAGTTGACTTTGTCCTGAAAAGTTCTGATGCAGGTTGAGTTTGTGTGCGCCATTTTATTTCTCTCAACTTCTGCAGTGTTCTAGCATCTGAAAAATTACTCTCCATCCTTCACAGTCGTATTCTGTCCCTCACAAACCACATCCTTCCCAGAAAGGGATTTCTCCAGTGAGCAAGCCTTGTTATGAACAGCTGTGCATCTTAAAAATTCTCTCCAGACACCCTTGTCGGCAGCCAACCTTGGGGTTTGACAGCTCTGAGGTCCTCCTCTGACTGCCCCCTCTTGTCTCATAGCATCTTAATCACAAGTTTCGCAGACACAAAGCATACTAAAATAGAATAAGAATTCAGCAAGCCCTTGTGCTGCCAGTCTTATTTGTGTCTGTGGTTTTTGCTCTCTGCCATGACCTCAGAATCAAGGGCTGGGCCTGAGCTTGGAGATTTGTGTCTGACGAACAGCTCACATGGGGAGCCTCCAGTCTCCTCACACTCCCTCAGGGAGAAGCTTCTATTTACTGTGGAAATAGGTAGAAAATACTCCCCTTTAACCTCAGTAAATCCAAGTGACTTTTTCCCTCACACCATCTCAGCTGGTCAAACTTTTCTGCTTGCTTATTCTTGGTCATAGAAAATAGACAGGAATATCAGAAATATTTATGGTTTCAATAAGGCCAATTCTAAATAGCCCCTGTTTAGAATGGCACTCCTATCCAAGTTGTTGGCCTTTTCTGTCCTCATAACGAGAGCTGCCCTACGCAACAGCCTTGCATTGCTCAGCTACATGCCTGACAGTTGATGGCAACAGTACCCAGGCAGTGGTGGCTGGAAATGGAAATAGGCTGTGCAACAGAGTTCTCTGTGTCACCCACCAGCTTTCCACAGTGCACATTTCTGCAGGTCCGAGCACAAGTCTTGACTCCGTTAGCTTTTCTGCCTATAAGGTGAAAATCTGTCCCCAGTCATGGGAGACAGTCCTTCCACCTTGTCCACGGATACATTGTGTCTAGAAAACTACATGTGTCCCCACACCACCCATTTGTGTCCTGCCTGCTGCCGTGGCCCAAGACTAGACAGCAGCTTTGGGGACAAGTTAAATTTGAAGGGCTACTCTTACACTTGCGCAGTGGTGTCTCATCAAAATGCAGCTTTAAGAAAAGAGCTTTGGGTGAGGCATGCTGATGCATACTGAGAGACTGAGGCAAGAAGATCACAAGCTTGAGCCCTACCTGGGCAAAGTAATGAGTTACAAGACCTTGTCTCAAGTTAAAAGAAAAGAGACAAAGAAAGCTGAGGATGAGGCTCAGCACACAGCCCTTGGGTTCATTTTCCAGATATAGGGGCAGGGGATGGTCAGGGTGCATTGTGACTGGCACTTTTGGAAGAAATACTGAGTGTGTGGGTGTACTCTTCATTAGGAGCCTGAGTTCTGACCACATCCCTGTCAGGGAAGTCTGCAACCCTAGGCAGGTCTGAGTGCAGGTGGATGGGCACAGGGACCTTACTAGCACTTGTGTCCTTAGAAGGGTTTCTAAGAAAAGTGTATTTCTTAGAAGGGTTTTCAGTAAAGGCCAACTGAGCAATTTTACCTTTTCTTATACTATCCCATAGAGATAGGGTTCTCTTTGCTACTGCTTTTTATGTTTAGAAGAGTATACCTCCTTAGAAAAATCAACCTCCCCCTAAGAGCTGTTTGTATTTACAAATTTCAGAACTTGCATTTGATTTTTGTTTGTTGGCTTGTTGGTTTTGGATTTTGGTTGCGGGGGGGCTCTATGCATTTGATTTTTGAGGGAGGTAAGAGAATATACTTATTTGTAGGGAATAAGAACAAAAATAGGAGAAAGAACTCTTGCTGGTCACCTGAGCCCTGGAGACCAAGAACTGTACCTCAGAACCCTGTGTTTTACTGTGAAACGTGCACCACAAATAGTCTGTGTTCCTTACCTCACTGTGGTCTCCACAGGGATGGGCACTTCTGATCCGTTCTCATGGGGACACAGGCGGCTGCGGTCAATGGAGAGGAGACACGGGATTTGCATTCATCGTTGCAACAGTATATGATTGTTACGACACGTTTTCTTTACTTCACAATAATATCTTCAGTATCTGTCCTTGTTCTGGCGTGTGTCGGAATTTCCCAAGGCTACAGAATTCGCCATTGTATGTGTATACCACGTTGGTTTATTTCTGCCTCCTCTGACATACACTTGAGTTGCTTCCGTCTTCGGGTTATTCTGCATCGCTGTGAACATGAGTGTGTAGCTGTCTTCTTAGTCTGTGCTTTAAATTCTTTGGGGTATATACCCAGAAGTAGGATGATTGCTTAATCATATGAAGCTGTAGTCTGAATGTGTCCTTCTAAAATTAATGTGTCAGATTCCAGTTTCCTATATGTTGTTGTCAAAAGGCAGGGGATTTGGAAACTGGTTAGGTCATGAGGGCAGTGCCCTTGTGAAAAGAATTAGTTCCCCTATAAAAGGATCCTAGGGAGCCCTTTGTGCTTTTGTTGTGTGGAGACACAGGAGGTGTCAGCACCGAGGAGCAGGCCCACTAGGCACTGCGTCTGCTAAGTCTGTTATCTGTAAATGACTCAGTGTTTTATGATCACAGAGGGGATGGACTAAGGCATATGGGAATCCGACCTTCAGCTTTATCTCAGTAATACATTTTAAACATCTCTTTTCTCCACTCCACCGTTAGCTCTTGCTACCCAGTCTCCCAAGCCTCGCTTATACTCGCTGCACCTAAAACACAAATCCCATCATGTACCTCTTGATGAAATTTCCTGAGCCATAGACTAGTAGCCAGTTTCCTAACATCGCACAAGGCCTCACATCTCATGCATGCACAAGTGTACACATGCCTGTCCGTACACGAGCACATACACATGTGCGCACATACACACACACACCTCTTCGTGTGATGCATTGCATAACAGAAGAGGATTTTTCCTCTTCACTTGCCTCTATCTGATGCTCCTTGAACCATCTCACTAAATGCATAAAAATGAGAAAGCTTAAAGGA